TCATGTAAGTTATTAATTTTATTATTTTCAGGAGATTTGTCTAATACGGATCCTCAGAATTTTATTTACGTAGAGTTAAATGCAATATTACAAGCAAATGCAGTTGTTCTTGCTCAATTGTTTAAATTACTGGGTAATCAAGCTAAATTCAAATATTATAATGACATCGGTCATCGCTTTCAGATTGGAATAAACGCGGTTAGAGATATTTAATAAYATAATCATAATATTCATGTATATTGTGTAGTGTAAAATGTGTAACTGAAAAAACATTTTTGTTTAATATGGACATTTAGTTGTTGTGGAACGAAGAAGAAGGTATTTGGTTAGATTATGACTTAACCACTAAACTGAGTCGTAAGTATTTCTATACGTCCAATTTTGCCCCATTRTGGACTGGTAGTTACGAGAGAAAACTTAGAACGTATTATGGAAAACGGGCATTGGACTATTTGATAGTTAACGGTGTTATCAATCAAGATGGAACTCCAAAACTCATTTGTAAGCATAAAATCTTAATAGTAAATTAATAGTTTGTGTTAGAAATGACCTACACAAATCCTTAAATACAAACATGACGGATGTATTAAATTGGAATTCAATAATAAATCAATGTATACAAGAAACGATTATTGTTTTCACGTTTTTGTTAATTTTTCCAATTATTTTACTAAGTCAAAACAKTTTGCATCCATTTGTAAACTACGGTGGTGAAGCGTCATAGGAGACAATTTTACAACATCTATGCTTTACTCATTAAAAATACGGACAAATAAAATATTTGTCTTACAAATTTGAATGTTACAATAATATATTATATATTATAATATATAAATRATAAATATTTCAATATTTCTCAGAGGTTTTTTATTTTTGGTATAGGTACTTTATATTTTGTAATAAAAAATTTAAACTGAATAATCCAATGGCAGTAACTAATAGTTAGTACTTAAGTACTACAGTAAATAATTTCAAATATTTATTATTTTTAATGTAGGCGTACCAACATCGAATGTGAATTCATCTCAACAATGGGACTATCCGAATTGTTGGCCTCCACTTCAAGCCATGGTGATCCAAGGTTTAGATCGCACAAACTACAAACCTGCACAAACTGTTGCTATAAACTTGGCAAAGTCATGGATAAACACTAATTACGTTGGATATATAACCAGTGGAACTATGTTCGAAAAGGTAACTTTTTCCATCATCCAATCAATAGTGTAATAATGCTAACTTTAATGATTGGATAAAACTGTATTTTGTAAAACTGAGMATTTGTATTGATTTCATTCAAAAACGAGTTTTCTTAAATAATGATGATTATAAAAGCTAATTTTGACTCAATTGTGTGTATTTTTTTTTTTGTATTTACAGTACAGTGCACTTGAAGTGGGCACAACCGGCGGGGGTGGGGAGTACACACCTCAGACAGGATTTGGATGGACAAACGGTATCGTGTTCGAACTGTTCCGGAGATGGGGACACCTATTTCGATCTACTTAAATACCATACTACTGAAACGACCATATTATATTCATATTGTGTATATACTATATATATATACATATATATCTACGTAATACTTTTGTATTTTACACTAACTATACATTTTAAATTAAAACGAATAGGTATACAGTTTTTAATTACAGACATAATATTTGTACAGCATGCCAATTTTTATCATTGTATATAATTAATATTATATTTTATACATGTATATATATTATTATGATGTTTGTTTAATAAATTATGATATTATTATTAATTTTTCCTTGTTTATTAGAGATTAGACGATAACATTATTATTATAATTATCATACATGTATACAATTGCACACCAATCTACAMGACTACGCGGAGAACTTAGGAGTAAATAATTTGCGACAATTGAGTATCCACTTTGTAAAATTCTACAGTAAAAAAAAAAAAAGTTTAATTCCTTATCATTATTATTATTATTATCTAAAATATTCTAAAACAAATGTTAATAGTTTACCAACGTGTTTTTCGGTTATCACTATACTTTATTAGAATAATCAAATAAAATAGAAACTTTTATAATTTAATTTAAAGAATTTGATAGACTGAAAAACAAAGGTTCAAACAGTACTACTACACTGACGTGCATAATATAGTATAATAA